CTTGGAAGTGACAGAGTATGCAGATTGAACAAGTCATTATACGGACTCAAACAATCACCAAGAGCGTGGTTTGAACGCTTTGGGAAGGCAGTTATCAGTTGTGGCTTCTCGCAGAGTCAAGCAGATCACACAATATTTTATAAACATTCAAAAAACAGTAAAATTGCAATTTTGATTGTTTATGTTGATGACATCATTTTAACTGGTAATGATGAAGCAGAGTTAGCAGCCCTCAAAGAGAAACTCGCAAAAGAATTTCACATTAAGGATCTGGGAGCCCTTAAGTATTTCCTCGGAATGGAATTTGCAAGATCCAAGGAAGGTATATTCGTTAATCAGAGAAAATATGTTCTTGATCTCCTTGGAGAAACAGGTATGCTTGGTTGTAAGATGGTGGAGACTCCGATCGAGCCTAACTTGAAGTTACAAGCTGCTAAGGCTGAAGAAGTCAAAGAGAGGGAACAATATCAGCGACTTGTCGGGAAATTGATTTACTTGTCTCATGCGCGGCCTGATATTGCCTTTGCAGTCAGCATGGTAAGTCAGTTCATGCACTCACCAGGGGCAGAGCACTTTGAGGCCGTTTATAAGATCTTAAGATATTTGAAAGGAACTCCAGGGAGAGGCTTACTGTTCAAGAAACATGGACATCTTCAAGTTGAATTATACACAGATGCAGACTGGGCAGGAAGTGTTACAGACAGGAGATCAACATCCGGATACTGCTCCTTAGGTGGGAACCTAGTTACATGGCGGAGTAAAAAACAGAATGTGGTAGCTAGAAGTAGTGCAGAAGCAGAGTTCAGAGTTGTTGCCCATGGAATCTGTGAAATAATGTGGATTAAAAGAATTCTTGAAGAATTAAAGCTTTCTCACCCGACACCTATGAAGGTCTATTGTGACAACAAAGCAGCTATATCTATAGCTCATAATCCAGTTCTACATGATCGCACAAAACATATAGAAGTGGATAAACAATTCATCAAGGAGAAAATCAATGCTGGCATAATCTGTATGACCTACCCAATGCATATATGATGCCAAACTATTGTTGTTTTCCCCCAGAAAAATATAACAATTTTAATAATAATGCAAGCCATACTTTCTAAGATAAAATCAACCAGATAACACCATGTTAACCTAACAATGATTAAATTAGGTATATAGCAATCATTGCACATTATTTATGCTAGAAATTTGTGTTAATGTATATAATAAGATGGTGGCATGTATATAATATGATAGTGGTGTTGGTGGTAGATAGTGGCATGTATATAATATGATAGTGGTGTTGGTGGTAGATAGTGGCATGTATATAGTATGATAGTGGTAGATAGTGGTAATATATAATATGTAAGTGGCATATAATGGGTTATAATGATGTTTGTAATATCTCCTATATAAGGAGTGTCATTTGGTCTTGTAAAATAAGAAGTTTTGAATATAACAGAAATATATTCCTTCTTCCTCATATTTTCGGAGTTCTTCTTCCTCATATTTTCTAAGTGTTTATCTGGGTTTATTTGATGACTCGAAAATCTGCTTTTTACAAAATATATTCTAATTGTCACTCCATGATTCACACTCAGTTTTCCACCACCATTAAAGTTCTCCGTTCTGATTTGGAGAGTGAGTATTACTTGTCTGAGTTTGAGGAGTTTTTAGCTACTCATGACACTATTCATCAATCTTCGTGTTCTGACACTCCTACCCAAAATGGTCGAGCTGAGTGCAAACATCGCCATCTCCTTGATATAGCTCGCTCTTTGTTGCTCTCGTCTTTTGTCCTTTCTGTTTTTTGGGGAGAAGCTATGCTCACTGCTCCATATCTTCTCAATCGGATGCCTACTCCTCTTCTCTCCAGCTCATCTCCGTATGAGCGTCTTTTTTGTGTTACTCCCAATTATTCTCTTCTTCGTATTTTTGGTTCTGCATGCTTTGTGCTCCTTCCTAAACGGGAGCGCTCTAAGCTTAGTTCTCGTTGTGTTCTATGTGTCTTTTTAGGGTATGGCATTAATCAGAAAGGTTATCGGTGCTATGATCCTGCCACCAAAAAGCTATATGTGTCTAGGCATGTCACATTTCTAGAAAAACTACCCTACTACACTATACCTTCCACCCCTGTTCCTATTACCAATGATGAATTGGTTCACATTGACCCATTTCCTCTTGATGTTTCTCTCAATGAGTTTGTTTCTAATCTAGAGGTCTCTACTTTGCCTCTTACTCGCACTTCTGATATCTCGCTAGCTACTTCCTCTCCAGCTCCTCGTTTCCCCTACTCCTCTTCTTGTGTATGAGCGCCGCAAAGCACTTCCGAGCTCACCTGTCTCTAGCTCTACTGTTCCTCCAGCCGTTTCTTTGGATTTCGCTCCTCCTGCACATCGCTTTCCAAAGCGAGACCGTCATCCTCCAAACTGGTATGGTTTTGGTAATACATGCTTTTCCCTCTCCTATCAGTCTTTTCTTTCTTGTCTTCATACTTATTTTGAGCCCAGGTCTTACAAGGAAGCATGTCATGATCCCAATTGGATTGCTGCCATGAATGACAAGTTAACTGCTTTGGCTAACACTTAGACTTGGGATTTGATTCCATTACCTGTTGACAAGAATGTTGTAGGCTGTAAATGGGTCTATAAGGTCAAAACCCTTTCTAATGGTTCTTTGGAACGGTACAAAGCTCGTTTGGTTGCCCAGGACTTTTCTCAAGAGTATGGGATTGATTACAATGAGACTTTTGCCTCCGTTGCCAAGATGACTACTGTTCGCACTCTTATCTCTGTTGCTGCTGCCCATCACTGGGGCCTTTGTTTCAACTAGATGTCAAAAATGCTTTTCTGAATGGGCATCTTGCTGAAGAAGTGTATATGCGCCCTCCACCAGGTCTCTCTCACCCTCTTGGTGTTGTTTGTCGTCTTCGTCATGCTTTATATGGTCTCGAGCAGTCTCCTTGTGCTTGGTATGAGCGATTTCACTCTGTTGCACTTCAGCTTGGTTTTCGCCCTAGTCATCATGATTGTCCTCTCTTTGTTCGGCGCACTTCTGTTGGCCTTGTTCTCCTTCTTTTATATGTGGATGATATGATCATCATTGGCTCTGATTATAGTACTATTGCAGAGGTTAAGCATCAGTTGTTTCAAGAGTTTGAGATGAAGGATTTGGAGTCTCTTTGGTATTTTCTTGATATCTCATGCCAATCTCACTGATGACAAAATTGTCTATACTCCTCTTAAGTTGCATGCTAAGTTTTCCGCTTCTGATGGCGTTCCTCTTGAGGATCCCACTTTATATTGTGAGTTGGTTGGTTGCCTTGTTTTTCTTACCGTTACTCGTTTGGATATCTCCTATGTTGTGCACATTCTCAGTCAGTTTGTTTCTGCTCCTCGTTTCACACACTGGGTTGCCTTACTCCGTACTCTGCACTACTTTCGTGGCACTTTGTTGCAATGCTTGTTGTTATCTGCCTCTTCAGACTTGACTCTTCGTGCCTATGCTGACGCTAATTGGGCAGGTGACATTTCTGATCGCAAATCCACTTCTGGACTTTGTGTTTTCCTCGGTGATTCTCTCATATCTTGGAAGAGTAAGAAACAGTCTGTTGTTGCTCGTTCCACTGCTGAGGCTGAGTATCGTGCCATGACTCATGCTACTTCTGAGATCGTTTGGCTTTAGTGGCTTCTTTATGATATGGGTGTCTCTCTTTCTGATCCGACTCCGTTGTATTGTGATAATCAGAGTGCTGTCTAGATTGCCCATAATTCAGTCTTCCATGAAGGGACCAAACATGTTGAAATAGATTGTCACTTTGTCAGACAACATCTTCAGGCTGGCACTATTACTCTCCCTTTTGTTCGCTTCTCTCTTCAGTTGGCCAATTTTTTTACAAAGACTCACACTGTTGCTCGTTTTCGTTTTCTTCTTGGTAAACTTTCGATACTTTCTGCGCTCGCATCCTCAATTTGAGAGGGGGAGGGGGGGTTGGTGGGGGGTGTTTTTTTTGGATGTTGCATATTGCCTTGTAGTTTATATTATTCATTAAGGATAGTTTAGTCCTTTAGGTTGTTAGGGTTTTATTCTATTCACTTATTAGCTTAGGGTTTTATTCTATTAGTTGATATATATTTGTTCTTAGTTTTGATTGATTGTAATACAATGAATATACAAGTCTTCTTCTATGTTATCAAGCACATCAAGGCAACCTTAGATAAGAGAGAGGATGACAATGGGGGTCTTGCTCTTGCAGTAACTGGAAATCGGCTTAAGATGGATGCTTCGACGCATGGAGGAATCAAACCACATGGGACAGCGCAGCCATAAATAGGTCTCCCAACCCCATTGATTCATCATTCCAGAGGTTTCTCCACAACCTATTGAGCCAATGGCAGACCTCGGGGGTCTCATATCACAGGTAGCAATCAATAGGCATGATAAGCCTCATGGGAGACCCCGTAACATGGTATAATGCATTCTTTGGTGAATTGCATGACTTGGTTGGTCAATGCCACTCTCTAAGATTGATCAAGGTGTAGGCCCCTTGAATGCCTAGGCTCAAGACTAGGGCACCACATGCACTATCCTCAACTGCTAATCTCAACCTCATAGGAAAGAATGGTGACTTATGATTGGCCCACGTGTTACCTCACGAAGCTGACATGTGACACCAATTTCCCTTGAGCAGCCAGAAGTGGCAGCGCCATGTAGCTGGACAAACTACCTACACCGGTAGTAAGCTAGTATGGTATAATATCTAAAAATGGACTCTCTTAATATAGGCATAAAAATGGTGAATGGTATCCCTACCTACCATGTTTAAAAAGAATAATCAAGATATTCAAAAACTTTAATTTGAAACATATTACAAAATCAAAGCCCTCCTAAATTGCAAATTTACAAAGCTACTGCCAGTGAAAACAATTGCCTATCATGCATGAACATTATGTTATGCAGAACCAAATAAGGAACATGTTTCACACCTAAAGATATGGAACAGAGAATATTACCTTTCCTTAGTTTGGTTGGTTTAATCCCACGACCCGCACTTGATTTTGGTGAATCAGGCCTTTTGGCAGGCAGAGATTTCAATGAAGTCTGTGTCTTTTTTGAAGAAATAAGAGCTGAAGAAAGAAGAGCATCAACAGCATCACGTTGTTGTTTCCTTTGTGTGATTGCATCTTTGGGTGTGTCACTCTGATTTGAAGCTCTGCCTCCATCGTTCCCATCTCTCTCTTGTACGCTGCCTTCAGGGGGTAGTATTGCTGCTCCCATTTTTTTCTGCCTTCTATTGAGTTCAAAAGACTCTACAGGTCCTTTCGACGCTTTTGGTTTCAAATGTTTATATCTATCACCTGTTACTTTATCAGAGTGGTCTACATCACTAGTTGGATTCTCATACTCACCTTTTCCCTTGCTTGAATTAGCAACAGCTTCAAATTGGGGATCTTTCTTTACTGAAAGATCACGCTCATCTCTGGCCCTTTTGTTAGTTTTACTTCCGCTTGTCATTAAAAGATTATCTTCATATCTAGCTCTTCTGCTGTCAATATGAGCTCCAGAGCCGATGTACCTTTTCTTCCTTGCATGGGTGTCCTCTGCGTTATTATGCTTTGGCCCAGCATGCCTGGTAGGTTCATGATTCTTTCCACCATTCTTCAGCTCTTTTGAACGATTATCAGAATTTTCTACAACAGCATGTTTCTTGGAAGCTGACTCGAACATGGAATCGTAAGGCTTTTTAGTTGATATTACCAAATTTCTTTCCTTAGCATCCCTGACAAGAGCAGCCCAGTTATGATTCGTCTGCAACGTTCTTGCATTACCAAAAATCCACAGGGAAAGCCTAGCTCTTGTCAGAGCAACATTCATCCGTCTTACATCTGCAACAAACCCAATATTGCTAGAGTTCATCTTGGTTGCTACAGAGCATGTTTCAGCAGCTCTAACTGTTGAAAGTATCAGTATATCAACTTCCCGGCCTTGAAAACCATCCACTGTATTGAATTCCATTTCGGCTGTAACAGAAGATCCAAATGCACTAGAAAACCGAGAACGCAATAGCAAAAGCTGACACTTATAAGGAGTTATGATGCCGATTCTACCACCAACAAATTCTGATGGGTACCTGTGCAGGGTAACCAAAACGCAAAATTTAGAAGAAATTTTTCCAGATGAATCACAATATAGGGAAGAGGAAGATAATACCTATTCTTGAAAAAACGAAGTATTTCAACTGCAGCATCAGCCTCGCACTCATTATAAAGCGACATTCCACCAGAATTCTTGCCATGAAGCTCATGCCCATCAACAATGTCAAAGAATACATAGGGTCCAAGGCTCTCAGTCCCATGAAATGGTGCTGACTTTTCAGACATCTGATGGCCATTTAGCAACTTGTTGTCATAAAAATGCAACGACGGAAAACGGCATATCTCTGGGTGCATCCTATACTGCCAATGATAAACGACAGTTTCTCAAGAAATTGACAGATAGTGAAGCTATAGATATTTAATGTAACAGAAGCTTTTTTCTGCAAATCAACCAAATAATAATAAAAGTAAAATATAATTTATTATTGGAAGCTTCGTAAACTCCACCCAAACAACAGTTTCTCAAGAAATTGACAGATAGTGAAGCTATAGATATTTAATGTAACAGAAGCTTTTTTCTGCAAATCAACCAAATAATAATAAAAGTAAAATATAATTTATTATTGGAAGCTTCGTAAACTCCACCCGGGGTAATTAACAACTCTGCCGGTCCCAAGCCCAGGTAAAGGAGGAGGATTGTGTAGTTAACATTGGCTAGCGTTGTAAATAGATATATGGATCTACTTAATTTGACTAACGAAATGGCCTTTGATAGAGCCCCGTGGAGAAGAAGGATTCATGTAGCCAACCCCATTTGATGGGACTTAAAGCTTGTTTGGTTTGGTTTGGTTCGGTTTGATTTGATTGGAAGCTCCGTATGGAATAAAATGACAAGAAAGAGGAAAAACTAATAATGGTGTTTGAAGATTGTTGGAAGCCACTTCAACGTTTGAACAGATCCCACGGCTAATTTGGGATCTCAGATCCTCCAACCCCGGGAAACCATAGTAGGAGAGGCTATTTTCATTACAACAGTACTTTTTTATCTTGGATTTCACAAGGTACTTTACGATAACAGTTGGCATACAAAGTACCTAAAAGTGTCAGAGATGCTGGCAATTCAGTGTACCTGCTCAGTAAGCATAATGACAGGATGACCAGCCCTTTGTAAACGTTCAAACATGCTGCATTGGTACATATATTTGCTAGCAACATTAGAGAGAACTGTAGCAGGAAGCTGCTTCGGATCACCAACCTTCAAAACAAAATTTTAACTATTTAGTCACGATAGAAAGTACAGATAGAAAACACAGTACTTGCAAAATAAAGAATCCAATGACCCATACCATTATACATTTAGTTGCCTTTGATTTTAAGAGCTGGAGTGGAATCAAAGTAGCTGGTTCCAGAGCCTACAATGACCAAGAAAATTAAATTCAAAAAATAATTAAACCAAACTGCAGAAAAAGAAAGATGGCATCAAGCTAATGGATTGAAAACCAAAATGACCAAAAAACAGAGGAAGAAGATAAGGAGAAGCAGGAGAAGAGAAGAGATTCTACTTGAGCTGCTTCATCAATGACTATGGCATCAAACAATGCATGCTCAGATGAATTGCTAAATTTAAGCCTTGAAATAGATTCAGAGCACACTCCATAAAGATCTCCACCACATCCACTCAATGTAGTTACCACAATTTCAGCTTCCCTTAATATAGACCTCCGCAACTTATGTTTAAGAGCTTTGCTGTCTTCATTCGCTTTCTTCTCCCTTGCCTGTGCACTCGAAAGTTCTATATAGATTGCTTTCTTTTCCTGATACAATTTTCTTAGTTTTGCATCTATTTCAGCATCAGACATTTCCTTTCCATCATCCCCTTTTGAAGCTTCTCCTTCCAATAAGCCTTTCGAGTTGGAATATCCATCCCTTAAGTTAGCACGCTTGGCTTCATAAAACCTAATTTGGTCTACTAGCTTCTCTAGATTAGCACGGTGAGCCATTGAAGAGACAACATTCAAATCATTCTTTGCATCACCTGCATTCATTTTCTCCTCTGCCAGCTTCTGATCAACAAGTGTATCAATAAAGAAGGGTAGTGAATTAGGATGAACAGTCTTTGCATTACCAACCCTCACAAGATACGGCTTGTACATTGATCCATCACTTCCATAAAGCCCTTCACTGGACATTCTTGATACCAATTCATCAACTGCAGCATTGGATTGTGCACATAGAAGCACCCTTCCTCTTGTGCCATTTCCCATGTATTTGCAATTCTTTTCTACATCTTCGTTCAATTGTCGAGCCAAGGCTGCATCCTGCCAAGCCCTTGCAATAGCAGCAGATTGACTAAGCTGGGTTTTCACATTAGGACATACACTATGGCTTGGTTTTAAACAGTCATTTAATGGTTTCTTCATATAATTCATTCGCTGTAAAGAAAAAGCAAGCAAACCACTGACAATGGCCAAAATAGTCCTGGTCTTCCCTGTACCTAATAGTAAATGCAGTCAAAATAAAAACCAAAATCATGGATACAGCAATTTGAGATCTACCAAACAGTTGGATCAAACAAAAAAAATGAAGTACCTGGAGGACCCTGTATAAGAGACATTTCATATTCTTTCATTGAATCCAGAGGTCCAATGGCAGTACCAATAGCTCGAAGTTGACTGTCATTATATGATGATTTAATAACACGCCGCAATGGTTGGGGAAGCTTACTGAGGTCTCCTTTTTTAGGCTCATAATGACCAAAAGGATGACTGACGGGATTCAAGATAATAGGAAGCAGAGGGATATTATTTATCGAGGATAGTGCCTGGAATTCTCGAAGTTGAGGTGTAATGCTCATAATGCGACTAACATACCATTTGCTTCGTTCAATAAGGAGCTTCCTAGCTCGATTCAGACGTGATCCATTTTGAAGATAGAACCTGATAACTAACATACTTGTTCTTCTTTTGATGTCTTTCTCACGCCTCTCCACCTAATACACAGAGACATGTTTAGCAGAATGTACGAACAAAAACGAATGGAGTAGGCACATTGCCAACAACTTGGTCAACTGTACAATTCACCATTATGTTATTGATAGTCATTCATGCGCAGCCCAAAATGTAAACAATTTGACTGCAAAATTGTAGTCTCTTACTTGATAATCAATCATACATTCATAACTCAAATATAGAGTAGATCAATCACCATAACCATCCAGCTTCTAAACATCAAGGCATCCTCCAAAGTTAACTACTATCAGAACCACTATGGGGGTGTTTGGTGGAGCTTTTTTAAGCCAACTTATGGCTTCTGGCTTTTAAAAAATTATTTTGAACTGTTTGGTTAAACTTATTTCAAATGGCTTCTGATTCTAACAACTTATTTTGAGTCAAAAAAACTGATTCTGAGAAGCTGCTCACCCCTTGCTTCTGATTATCAACTTTTGCTGTGGACATGTTAATTCACAGTTATACTCTTAGATTTTTTTATTTTTTATTTTTTTAAAAATAGAAAAAGACCCAAATAGACTATTAAATATTATTATTATTTTTTATGAAAAATGTAGACAAATAGTGAATAATAAAAAATAAAAATTAATTGAAAAAGCTATTTCACAGCATATTTAACAAACACTACTCAGTAACTTAAATCTATAATCCAACAGCTATACCAAACAGATTAACAGCTTCTGATTAAAGTCATAATCTATAATCTGTTAAGCTATAATCTATAATATGTTTTAACAGCTACACCAAACAACACTATATATGTTGAATGGAGCTTCAGATGGCCTTGAAGTGGAATTAGTTGTTGCAAGATTATAAAAGCTTGTTGAGGCTAAAAACTAAATCATCAAATGCACAACCAGAGCAAATAAGGTATCAAACTTCCTTGTATTCGATGTAAAGTCTAAAAAAATTCTAAAACAATGAACAGAATTAAACGCATAATGCATCTGCAACTCAAAGTATAATCAACAAGTTCACTAAAATTGAAATTTACCCATCACGTTTGGACAAGCATGTGCTCATTGAATTGAATAGTATAGTGTTAGAATATAATATGTAAAGTGTTGCTTTAATAATTAGGTTAGTATAATAATTAGTATGCTTTAATAATGTACCTTTAATAATGTTGTTTGGTTTGTGCTTCTACTTTAGGTTTGTAATTGTTCTCCCTCTCCTCTATAAAGGAGAGAGCTCAACACAACATTTAATACATCTATCAATACACAATTTATTCTTTCCTTTTATCTATACATGTTATAGATTAAATCTTTCATGGTATCAGAGCTAAGTTAACCACCTAGTAATTTCGCTTCACCGGCGGGCGGCAGCCTCGCCTTGGCCGCCCGCCGGACGATGAGAAAACTAAGCACATAACATGTCTGCCATACCTCCCAGTTTCGGTCCTCCGTGGCCGCTTCCGCCGCCGGTGAGTATAGACAGCTCAGTTGCACCTTCCAACAACGGCCAACAACGGCCACAATCGGTGCCACTATGGTCTCCTCATGTCGAACCCATAATTATTGCCTGCCAGTGAAACATGTCTTCAGCAATAGGACCAGCACTGCAAGATGTAGGAGGATCCTTCTGGAGATCCTTGAGTTCCTTCGAGATCCGCTTTGAAGCCATCGCTAGACCTGCGTTTCAACAGCCCGATCACCTCAGATCGACATCAAAACAAATTAACAAAAACATAGAGTTGGAGATATGTACTACAGGGAGGGCAGAGAGTGGGCGAGGAGGAGGAGTTGCAGCCTCTCTCTTTCCTCCGCTTCGGCTTTTGTTCTGTCACGTTCAGTTAGCACAGGACCATCTATCACCTCTGGCTTCTTCTTTGGAACTTCTTCCTCATCCATTCCATCAAACATTCTCAATGGCGTTGCAAGACTTCTCACTGTTGGATTTGTTTGTCCCCTCTATTCATATATATATGTAATCACATTTGTACATATCGATTTCACAAAGGGCAAAAAGGTAAAACCACCAATCGAGTTCTCGGATGGACCGGATAGTCAAGCTCCAGCTCCATCCTATCATCGGACGACTCACGCCGACGACTCTCTTCATTCCTCTCCTGATTCACGCTGTGATATCTCGACACCGGCTCGAACACCAGCGTCAGCTCCAGCTCAATCTCGCTGTCACCAGACGAATCATTCGTCTTCAGAATCGCCTTATCCGGCTCCGCAGTATCCAAGCTCTCCTCTACCTCCCGGCTCTCACCGTCCACATTCGCCGCCGCCGCCGCGGCTGCTTGAGACAGGTGACTCAGCGACGACTCGTGACTCGTCGACCGATTCAACTCACCCCCAGGCACAACATTAACCAGGCAAGCCTTAGGCTTGACAACAGCACCTGACTTCTTGAACCAGCACCGATTCCGAACCCGGTGAAAATCGTTGGACCCGGCAGAGTTATCGTCCTTGGAAACATGACGAAAGTCGTAAACTTTCAAAGGCGGGCCATTGTTAGACTTGACCAATCTGCACTCTCTCTCCTCCTATCTCCTATCACTTTCCTGAACAATATGCTAAGCCATCTGTCTCCACTCACTTTGACACATTATTTTTCTTTTTCTTTCTTTTTTTTTTTTTCATTTTTCTTTTCCTATATCTATATATATATATATATTTTTTTATTCTCACCAACACAGATACCAATCCTCCTTCCTTTTCTTTTTTAATCACACCGATCCACCGCCCAACCTTTATTTTCATTATTATAAAGCTTAGTTGGTCTATCTTCTAATTTCTTTTTTATTAATCACACCCATCCACCGCCCAAACTTTATTTTTTATTATACAGCTTAATTGGTGCTCTCGATTCGCCCTGTTCCCCACTCCCTCCTTTATTATTTTTTATTCATCATTACATATTCCTCATCACCATGATAAAAAAAAAAAAAAATCATTCACAACCAACTCGGTTTTCATTCCACACACTTGTCCTTTCTTCCTGCCGGGATCAACCCCGATCACAATTTACACAAAAACAAAAACAAAAACAAAAAAACAAAAAAACAAACAAACAAACAAACAACCAAAACCAAAGACCACCATCACAACAACAACAGATTTGTTCTCTTTTCTGCAGACGGCCACCCACCGACATCACTTCTTCGCCTATTCCGCCGGTCTCTTCTTCTTGCCTCCGTCCTGAGCGGCCCTTGACGGTGCTGCCTCCGTGTTTTCCACGCCGCCGAGCACGTTCACTCCCCCATACTCCTCCACTGCAGCATATGGCGGACCTCCAAATCGGAACATAACGGTGGCCTTCCGCTTCAGCTCCTTATTTTCCGCCTTTAGCACGCTTCCACTACCACCACTCACCTATCTCACCTACTCCCAAATCCTCTCCTATATAATAGCTTGTAATATACAAAATATTTATATCAATCAAAACATCAATAATAATATACATCTCAATTTATTATTTTAACATTAAATACTAAGAAAAAGAAGATCATTAGATGAATTTTATCAAGTTCTTTTATCGATGATGAAAGTTCAACGGAGCAAAACCAGAGGCGCTTGGTTGAGGTTCACTGGCCACCGCACCAGTTATCTCTCTTGTTGACTCGTTGAGGTCGGGAAAGAGAGTGAGCAGACCACGGGACGAAGAGGCCATATTCTGGGTAGCTGAACGGGAAGACGAGGCCATGTTATGGGTTGCTGAGTGTTTCAGAGAAGGGTTGGTTACAGAGTGTTACAGAGTATCTCTCTCAAGACAACGAAGAGTTTCTCAGAGGTTTTTAGCCAGTTTTTTGTCTTAGCCTCTGCCTCAGCCTCAGCATCCGTCTTGGTTAAATAGCCAAGGCAGACACGCGCATCGCGCGCCACTTGACGCCAGACGACAAAACGAGCGCGCAAGCCACTGTGGTGACGTGCCTCGCCATCATGTCCGGCACATCTTTTTATGACTTGGGCTCGCCTTTTGATGGCACGCCTTTTGAAAGATTGGGCACGCCTTTTGAGGGTGCGACTTTTCCAACGGTCCGACATGACCCCATAAACTGTCCCGACATTGATTCCGATTAGCTTCTACAACAACGGTCTGACACGACCACACAGTGTCTGCTACATCGGTCCGGCATGACCTCGTAAACTGTCCTGCTACAACGGTCTGACACGACCATACCGTGTCTTCAACAACGATTTGACACCACCATACAGTGTCTCCTATCCTATTTTATTTTATTTTATTTTTCTACTCTCTCCAAACTCAAGTTGGTTGGTTCCTATCCTCCTTGAGTTTGAGGGGGGCTGTTAGAATATAATATGTAAAGTGTTGCTTTAATAATTAGGTTAGTATAATAATTAGTATGCTTTAATAATGTACCTTTAATAATGTTGTTTGGTTTGTGCTTCTACTTTAGGTTTGTAATTGTTCTCCCTCTCCTCTATAAAGGAGAGAGCTCAACACAACATTTAATACATCTATCAATACACAATTTATTCTTTCCTTTTATCTATACATGTTATAGATTAAATCTTTCATATAGACTCATTTGCATATTTGTAAGAGACAATTAGAGGTGTTTGGACTGCCAAGCAAGAGAATATTTGTTCAAGTCTCAAGGTAACCACTTTAGACTATATCCCATAGTTTGGGTCCATACACACTCCACCCCTACTAGCACCCTCGATTACACCAGGTAAGTTCTTTTTATACCCAATTAATGTCTTGAATGTTACAAACAGCATAAATTAATAAATTACATACCTTTCCAACCATGTGAACATCATGTGAAGAATTTTGCAGAGGCTGTCTTGTAAGCAAAATGAGGTCATTTTCTGAACAGCTTCTACATCCTGCAGGAACATCATCATCATGGACACAGCGAACAAGATGAAAATCATCAATTCTCTCAACTGACAACACAGATAGACTGCCACAACTCATCTCTTCTGAAGAAGTAATCTCCGGAAAGGAACTATGCAACTGTGCTTTAAACTCTTCCAATACCAATGGTCGGAAAATGTCCACATATTGGTCAGGTGATTGAAAAGACACAGGGACCTCTTTTAATTTGCTAACAGTTTGATTCTCCTCTTTACTTGCAGATGCTAATCCCACTGTTGCAAAGTAATCTATCTCTAGGATGGGTCGATACCAGTCATCAAGCCTTGGTGGCCTGAATCTTTTAAACCCACCTTCCATCTTATGTAAGTAGCCAGATCTGATTTCCACAGGTAAGTTAAGTTGAATGACTTGCCGTTTAGGAGCAGTAGTGGTTGGTTTTATTGCATATGATTGTTGACGCCTTGAAGATTTTGATGCAAACTCCCATGGATCAGCTTCAGTATCAGGAACCAACTCTTTTATGACAGTAGCACTTGTTTCTGAATCCTTTTTGATGCATGCTTGATCCATTCTTTTGGAACTGACTGTTGCACCAGATGAATTCTCCAATTTATAGTTACATTGCAATGGCAAAGTATCATTTACACTACATTTGGAGTTTTTATCTTTGTTATTACTATCTACAGCTACAGCTTTATCTTTGCTATTACTATCTACAGCTTTTGATTTGATTAGATATGCAGGATCTAGTCTGCCTCGCAATGTATCTGAGTCAATTTTCTGTGAAACAAAACCAGCACAATCAGGATCGGCTTGCTGAAAATCCTCTATTGAGTTCTCTGAAGTGCCAGTGGTGGTAACATTCATTTCGGCAAAATCACCTCGAGAAACTCCTTTAGCAGCCCTTCTTTTTTCATCCAACACACAACGACTTGCCATCACATTGGAGAGGATGGACTTATTGGCTGAAACTTCCATCTGTGTCTCGTCATCGGAAAGAACAATGACAGTATCTCTATCCCTCTTGTTAGCTGATGATACTGAGTCCAGAATCTGCACATTTGTATCCTCCGAGGAAGGTTTTGCATCTTGAGCATAAAACTTTCTCCTGAATGGCAAGTCTTCAGCAGCTAAAGAACCTGACTTTAAGTTTATATCTTTAACTACCTTAGAACGTCCAGCCGATAATGAAACTGAAAGGCGTGATACATGTTCTGTCAATTCATCCAAAGCAACAGTTTCTGGATTGCAGAGCCGCAATACATATCAAAACAGAAATTAATGATGATACTAATACTTGATGATTGATAAGAAAATGAAAGGAGATGAAAAACTTAAATCTGGAAAACTCACCACATGAAATAAGTTTCTCAATGGCCTTGATCACTGAAGTAGAATTATCACAGCATGACCTCTTAAGCAAACCTAGCAAAGAAACCAGAGTTTGTTTCCAGTATCTAACTATGACTGCAAGCGATGACCTTCCCCAATCCATCAAATCATTAAGCCATTTGTAGTCAATAAAATTGTCCATCATCCCCGATTTCCCAGATACTTTATGAAATGAAGGGTGAAGCCTTTCGAAAACAACAGGGAGGATCTCAAGTAAACGGATACAAGTCATCTGAGATAACAAATGACCATAAACATAAAAGAATGACTACTAAGCTTAGATGCAGCAAGCTGATTTCCAGAATTTTGAAGTAAATTACTCGGCCTCCGACATGTACTTGGAACATTACAAAGGTTTCAATCAGTTCAACAGCAATTAGAAGCCATATCAAGCCCACAGCAATTAAAATTTATTGAATCATAAGATGGTAGAAAATCCAAGTACACAACAGGTATACTAAGCAGCCAAAGCATATAAATAAAATCTAAGAACACTTTAAACACTAAACCCTCACATTCAGAAGCATCCTAAAAGAAAAGAATCTTTAGAATAAAAAAAATCAATAGCGAATATTATCTATACATATAAATGTAAAAGAACAAGTATACACATAGAATACACGATGGCTGTGGTTGTCACTCTAGGACGGATGAGGTGGAACTGGAGAACTTTTCATATTTACTCTTAACTTGAATGCTGTCCTCCCTAATTGCAAGAGGTATTACAGGAATTAAGAGAATGATCACAGAGCTTCAAAGGGAAGGTTACAACATATGGGGTGTTGGCTGTAAGCAATGGTTCAGATATGAGGTCTAAGCCTCTGGCACTGAGTTTCCATGTTACAATCTTTCCTACACGTTATCAGAATCTACTGGCAACAAATGAAATTGATGTGCAGGGTATTTGTTGAAAAGTATTCCAGGAATAGAATGTTTGGATGCCATGAATTTATAACAGGAAAGTATTTATGTATTTGGATGACAATACTATATCCTATCCTGTGCATTGAATCTAAATTATCAAAATTCCAACCACACAAAAGAATAGCTTAAGAGTTGATGAGACAATCTAAACAAATAGAATCAGATATCTGCTTTAACAGAGTAGTAACCATCCTAATAGTTGGGTTCTCTCTGACCAAGAAAAGGCCCACAGATTCCTACATCTGCCTTCTAGATGATGTCAAAATATACTTTATTTTGGATATCAAAGTGATCACAAATAATGCCCCCAGTAATTTGTCTGTGAGAGAGAGAGAGAGAGCGAGGAGAACGAGAGTCACCATAAGTCTATGACACCTATAGCTTCAAAATTATGTCCACAACCACTAAACAACCGTTCTGCATGTATTTCAAATTGAAGAGTTGATAAATAATAAATAAAACGAGTCAAAAATTGGAGAACAAAAAGGGAAACGTGACTCAGAATTTTGAAAAAGACTGGGAATAATACCTGGGAGATTTTGTAACCAATAAATGCTTTCCCTTCTGCCAAGCACTTCTGAACGAAAGGCCATGCAATTCCTGCTAGTAAGTAACTAAACTCCTCCCAAGACGACAAGTCGACATTTGCTGAATGTCCATCAACATTATGGGCCACAGAATCAAAGACTGGCTGCCACAGAAACCCACCTTGCGAAGAGACCTTTGAGATATTTATGTCATCTGGTGAGTTTCCGGGCAAGGTTGCGGTAGATGTAACCCCTTCCTTTAATAGTTTGCACAGAACGAAGAAGAAATGATGTAAAATCTGAAAATTTAACAGAACTGAATCTATTTGAACCTGAAAAAGGGGGAAAAAAAATCTATATGAGCAATAAGCGCGCACTAATGACCCACGAGTTAACCATTTCCGATGCCTCATGAGTTGGAAGGTCAATGATTATCCATTAACAGATATATTAGCAACTTTTTCATACCAATGATTAGAGACAAATAGTGCATCAATGACGAGAAGGGATTGTTTAGAGCTTAAATCTCTACAATTAATTATTCACCCAAAAAAAATCTCTACAATTAATAGCACTACCACTCTACTATCTTGTCCTATAAAATCCTTTAGCAAAACCAATGGTCAAAATTCTGACAACAAATTACTTTTGAGAGGCATAATAGAAAGTAGTACCAGCTTCAAAGCGTGTCTTAAACCAAAAAGAATGGCAGACAAAGAAGAGGAGCAGGAGCAAAGAAACTGCAAACCACAAGCAAGGCCACGCGTGTTTGAAACTTGTTCAAGGATACTTCTACCAACTTGCCTCGCATTCTGCATCACGCAGAAACTTTCAGTGCCAATTTTTTAATTGGAACAGCAATGATACAAGAAGTGGAAGAGAAAAATCCAGGACTACACCACTTTGGTCAAAAAGTTAGTATAAAACTATACATATAACATATGTAAATTATTTACATCATTAGGATCCACAAGCAAAAGAATCAAACTTTCACTCATCCTTGGTTCCCAGGTCCACTGCTTACGAAGCTCTCCTTGCTCCATTTTAACACCAAAATGAGTAATTAATCTGTAAAAGACCTTGAGTCACTAACATTTTATGTCCACTCTTAGCTTAATAATTCAAAGCACACACATAAATACAAGTTTTATTTACAGCAATCAGTATACAAAAAGTAGGCCACACCACTAAGATCGCACAAAAAAAATGAGACTAACCTCTTGAATGCTTTTACTAAAGGAATACACATTGTTGAAACTTTGATTGAGTTTTTTGACTCCTTCCCATCCCCACCATCATCATAACCTAATGGAACCTTCCATCCAAATAGATGTGAGATTTCTGAGGCACAAGTTGACAACCAATTTCTAACTGGAAGTGCCATTTCTGTGCTGTTCTCAGGTTCTACTATAGAAAAACGAGATAAAGCCCAGAAAACAGCCTTGGAAAATGATACAGGAAGGACTAAGGGATCAATTTCAACTAAAACATCAAACCACAACATTGGACTGCACATCCATTCCCCAAATTCCCTTGAGGTGACTTTACTCTGCAAGTTGAATTCATTCCAGCAACTATCATCCTTCTCTTCAACATCACGAGCAAACAAAACACCTTCATCCTCATCATCATCATTGAACTCAGAAGACATGTTTTTACTAAAGCTTGGAGGTGTGTGGCAGTTCAGCATTGAAGTTACCAAAGCTGCAGCATCAGATACTAAAATAGTTTGAATAAGATCAAACGCAGGTTGTCGCAGAGAACTGTGAAGCGACGAATCCTTTAGAGAAGACACCAGAGAAGGACCCCTGTCGAATAAAATTGCAAAAGCCATAAAAGTCTGTCTGTGCAAACAAGCAAATAATGGTCTAGCATAATCACATCTTCATAAAGGTTAGCTTCAGATTGGTCCACAAAGCTGGGCTATTATTCAGATCTGCAAACTTTTTACTATAAAGAATGGAATTTCGAGAGAAGCAGTACATGAGGTAACAAATAAAGACAAAAAAAATTAATACAAGCAAAAAATTCCTTCATTTGTATCTAGATGAAAATGGAGAGGCATGCACAAATGTGTATTATGTGCTTGCTAACAGTTCGCCCATTATTATGCCAAGTAGCAGACTAGCAGCAGGATGGTAAAGATATAAAATCCACTACTACAAATTTATTTTATTCAAATTTTATCCAACCTTGCAGAGATTCTATTTTTTCTTTCAAACCGAAGTCCTTCCTTTTCCTTCCCAGTGTTTTAAAAGGCTCTAGACACACCAAGGCGATAAGGTCTCCTATAGCCTAAGCGCGAAGCGAGGCGCGCGCCTCACCAAAGCGAAACGCAAGTAGTAGAAGAAAAGCAAAATTATAAAATAAGCAAACTTTTCAACATAACAAATATATATAGAATTTCAAAAATCATAACCATTTCCGATAATCTTTAAACATAACATTCAATCTTCTAAAAACTATAAATATAATATCCAACAAAAGATATAAACATAACATTCAATCTTTTATCACTTTCTGCTCTCTTTTGACCACATTTGGTCATTTTATATTGAAGAGTTTTGAATCACTGTGGGTATGCCTACAAAAAAAGCACTTAACCAACAGTTCGAGTAGAAAAATATGTAAGGCCCATGAAGCCCACACCTCACGTCTCGAAAAAAAGCCCTCACCTCAGCACCTAAGCTGCACCTTGAATATTGCACCTCAAGCTTAGGCGCACACCTTTTAAAACACTGTTCCTTCCCATTTTTTCCATCAGCACTGTTCTAGAACCAATCGTAAAAATGGATATCGAACTAAAAGCTTTTTTCATGTCTCTACTAATCCCAATACCAATAGCAAAAAACTAACAAAAATTAAAACGAAGCACACGCATTAAGCATACTTAATGCATACTTCATAATAATAAGGATTTGTCACACATTCAAATGAGAATCGGTGCATACCACATATGTGCACATTCAAAAGGCGGGCAAGGTGGGATAATCTTATAACCTCGGTGAATGATGAGAAGAGCTATCTGCAAATACAACCTCGCAAGTTACAATAAATAGTAGACATACTTACTGAAAATGACAATGTTATGTGGCAATAGAACAAAGATTGATTGAAGTGTAACATAGCAGTGCTTAGACAATCCAGAGGATGGAATAAGAACCTGACAAGCCTTTTTTCTCATCAGAATGCTGAAGTTACTGCTGACAGTAACTTGATGTAAAAGAAAATAAATAAAATGCCTTCGCTGCTTTTCATGCTCACCATCTTGCAAAGCTTCAAGAGACTGAATAAATGGGACTTACACACATCAGTAATGTCAACAAATGACTTGAACAATTGCAACCTCAGGAGAAAAAAATAATAATAATGAAGAAAAAGATAACCATTGATAGAGGACACTAAATCATAATGAAGAAGTACTATACAGACATGCCTGCAGAAAAGGCTGGAAAAGGTCAAAAATCTCCTTGTGGCTTTTCTCATTTCGAGTATGGAAACATTGCCCCAATAGAGTGTTGCGCATTAAGCTTGGAGACAATGTAGCCCTCAACCAAAGCTTGCATCCTTAAACAAGTTCCAATATGAAAAATTATCAACTAAGGAGAGGGGGTGGAATTTAAAAATAGAAAATATAAATAAAAAGAAGATGATAATAATGAAGAAGAAACATGCAAGGAAACATACCAAGCATTTCAAAGAGTAGTCTCAGGCAATTAACTGCATAGGAAAATTCAAATGAATCATCACTGATATGGTTGAGTACAATACTAAGAAAAACAGGATATCGCTCCAATATGCCTTCTTCAAATGCTGGAGGCTCTAAAAATCCAAGCCTTCAAGTACAGACACATGGAAGAACTATTAGCAGAAAAACAGGGAGTAGAACAACTTTTGAAGACATAAAATTAAAGCCATCACTTCCTACAATGCTTTGATCCCAAGCCATGCAGTTATATGATCCAGCTGCACCCTGGGCCTGGAAGTGTCAACAGTCGATGGCAATGCTTCTGTCTCTAAAAAACCAATGCATTTCTTGAGCAAAGGCTGCAAAGGTTCCAAATCTGTTGCTCTCCTGCAGACAAATAACACAAGAAACAAAAGTGAATCAGGACCTGAGGCCATGAAGCATAAAATAGTTTTCTAAATGAAACCCAATGGTAAAACTCTTCATTGAATAAACAAATAGACCAGCAGTTGACGGCACCAATTTCAGACTAGTGGCAACGTTTTCACTGTTTGCTAAGCAGCAACATAGCCCCCAGCAGCACCAATTTACACATTTCATTAGTGTTGGATTTCCCAGACCATAATCACTTTTATTAATCTAATTGTATAAGTATGAACAATTCTTTTTTCACATTTGTTATGCAAAGATGAACAATTTAATATGTTCACAATCAACATAGAAGCCTATCGACCAAGCACAAGAATTTTTTTTTTTAAGCAAATGCCACACATAAATCATTTTCAGTGAAATAATATTTTATGAACTCAAAACAGGTTTAACCCAACTATTTGGAGTCTGCTACACAATCTATTTAACCATTCTGCTGTGTCAAGGCAGCCAAAACTTCACCACATGAACCTTGTTCTGTTAACAAGTGTAATCACTGTTTGGAGTCCTGGGGCCTGGAACCATCGGGGGAGGGGGGGGAGGATGTTAAGGGCTGGAGCCATTAAAGCTCCAGAGAAAGCTCATCCAAAATTGGTGGTGGTTGCAGAACTGACTGGCACCAGAAAACTAATTACCGGCTCAGTATCATTGGTTATGTTGATAAGAGTATCTGGGAATTTTTCTAAATGTTGGTTTCATGTGGTGGTCAAAGTTGCAAACAGGTGGCTCAATATGTGGCCAAACACATTGACTGTTGGCTTAGACAAGTGGTGATTCTCCAGTGTTCCTTATTGGTTGCTAGAGGTGGCTGAGGATAAATGTAAAGCTTAAGACCTCAATTATTTTTTATTAAAAAAAAAATCATTATTCTTAAAGGAGGGGAAAAACTTGTACTCAACCTAAACCAAACCACTTATAGATGCAGTATTGCCCTTTTGACACACAAGAGAACATCATCTCAGTCCATGTTACCTTTAAAGTGGATCAATTTGGCACACAATGTGAATACCTATAAATTACACCACAATCCTAGAATATTATTGCAAATTGGGGTGTACAGCTTAATTGGTGGCTTATTACCAACTGATTCAAAATTGAGTCTTTTTTATTGAGGGAATGCAGTCTAAGCCTCTGGGGTGTTCTCTGGAGCACAGCCCCAAACCCCATTTTTTAAGACCGATTACCAATAACAACATACAGAATAATAAAAAAGATCAGCATCACTGATGCAAACAACAAGAATAAAATGTTGAGTCCTTGTAGTGCGGTTGCCACCAAGTACCAGCAAAACAGTACCTCAATTTTCCCATGTTTCCAGCTAGGCGTAAACCAATAGAACGTGCTCTTCTACTTTTAAGGAAAAGTAATGCATAAACTCCCTGACCAAAAAAAAGGGAGAGGATGACTTTCCAAGGGAAAATACAATTGGAATCCAAGGCCAATCAATAATAAAAGCAATCAAATGACCAAGAAAATTACCGGATATTGTTGATGTCCAGACAAAGTCAGTTCGTGAGCGTTATCAATTACTTCAACAAATATTTGAAACTCAGTGACCAATGACTGGTCCTCCAACAGGATGGGGAACATCAAAACCTGTACCTCAATGGAAAACCAAATTATTCCATGATCCAGAGACCATGTATGAACAATATTACTGAGCAAGTGAATCAAAAATCATTTTTTGATCAACTACAAATATAAAATTACCAAATAAAACTAATATAACAAAGTAATGGCTGGTATAAAATAACGTCATTCGACAAGATTGTCGTTCAATAGTGACAAAATTCTTGATCCAACAAAAAACATCATTTAAATAACAGAACTTCAACATCTGAAATATAGAGTTATTCCTTCGAATTCAAGATAGGCTTGATTCTTGAAAGCCTTTCTTTTTCCTATTTGATTTTATGTCATGTGTTGAGCTATAAATAATACTAATCTACTTCTCATGACAGAAAAAGAGAGTAAATAATGCTAATCTTCCTACAAATACAAGGCATGTTTAGTTTGTCTTCCTTTGTAATTTTAATTACCTTGATCAACGGGTTAATTGATGCATAGAAATTTAACATTTTGTTTACTTTCTGTTGTTGCAACCTTAATTGCCTTAATCAATAGGTTACTAGATGCATAGAATACAAGGTTCACACATGTAAAAAAAATATTATAGTATGCTATTTGATTCAGGCTATAAAATGCTCAAGCAAAAATAAATTTAAATTTAGGAGTTAGCATAGTTTCAAGTTGTGACTTATAGGAACCACTTAGTAGAGTCATCTTTGGGGCTATTTAGGTTAGACATTAATCTGGTCTATTTCCCATATGGTTTTCAGTGTCTAGTATGTTAGGAGTACTTCAGTTGCATAAATTTCTTCAACATGGAATACAGGGATCACCTATAGGTTGGGATATGGATCAAGTTATGTATTAAGGTTTTTATTAAAAAGTTTTATTTTGTTTTGGATAGGTTTTGGGAGTCAAAAATCTTAATTTCCTAATCGAAAATCTAATTCCTATTGCATTAGGAAAACTTAATCGTCTATAAAAGCTATGAAATTATTTCTGATTCAAGGGAGAATGTGTTTTAGAGAATTTTTCAGAGCTTTAGAAGCTTCTCGCATTCCTAACCTCAGGTGTGATGCCTAGACTCTTCTTCTTCTTCTTCTATTACCAGCACTTTTAGCCTTTAAAGTCCCACAGCCAAATTTGAATAACCTTATTTCAAAACCCTAATCATTGTCTACTTGGATTGACCAACCTAATACGGAAAACTAGTACTTGTTCCTCAGTTTTTACTGTTACAGTGCCCAAAACAGCCCAAGATAAGCCTCCGAAAGTCTTCTCTTTCACTTCCACAAAACATTGCCCATTTATTAGCACTTAAAATCCCTATGTTTTTTTTTTTGATTGGCCCAATAAAACCCAATTAAAATCAGCCCCTAACCCTAGGTTTTTCTGCTGTCATATATAAATTTTGAGCTCACTATTAGTAGGAGAGTAATCCCCTTCTCGTCCTACAACACCATCGCAAGCAATTAATATTATAGAATTGTTAATGGTATTCACAAATTAAAAAACAAATAAATAAACTGAAGAATACTAAAGAAAACAACACGAGTACCTCAAACATGACACTAACAACTTCAACATGATCACGCACAGGATCATATCCTCCCTGTGTTATTCTTGAATTGATCTCTTTCAGGTGTTGAGATACCCTTTCTTCATCAAGACTCTGCAGCACACTAAGAAGAGGGCCAATGGAACTCAACTCATACTCCGAATTATACATCTCTTGAGCTTGGTGATGCTGACAGATACATTGTGTGCATTGTCGCATTTCTTCAGATATCCTCTTCCATAAAAGCTTCAAAGGAGAATCAAGGCGGACATCTTTAAAATAATTATAGAATGTCTCCAAGAGAGGTCCCATCAAATCCCAAGCACCACACCAGATATGATTTTCTTTTGGCAAATAAACCAGGAAGTTAAATGCATCTGAAAACCTGTATCAAAAGCACTCACTAGAGCAAATAAATGAACAAACCCGAAAAGATTGATACTTCAACAATAAAGTCAAATACAACGTATCTACACAAAATAAGTATTGCTAATAGAGAATTACTCTGACCTTGAACAGTAATTATTACTCTACATAGTCACGAGAAACACAAGAATAGAACACCTCCTGCAAGGCAATGTTTCACAATTGCACAGATACATACTTCAAATCACTGACACACAAAGATTCTTGCACTGAAACTATGCCACAGGTCAGAACCAATCTGAACCAATTAACTTAGCGTGTTAATACAAGGCCTGAGAAGAGAGTTACGAAGGGAGGACTGGCAACTTGTTTCTTGAAAGTTAGCATGCATTTTGGAGATTATTTTTCAGCATCCAAATTATAAAATTGATATCATATTTAGGATGTCTCACCTCCATTGGTACATTATGTTTAACATTGTAGGCAACAGTAAAATGATGGGAAGTTAAAGTGTTGCCCATAATTGCAAATTGCACATAATAACTTTACATCATTGTTCATAGTACCATGGTAGGTCTTGATTCGTTTTAACCCAACAGCTACCTAAAGTTTTATATGACTAGATAACATTTAATTAGGTTGATTTAAATAGAAATATTCATCATAAATACATGATTTGCTTCAAAATAACTGGCTTCACACAATTTTATAAAGAAACTACGTATTTTCTTTGTGAGTCTGTATTTTCCCTCATTAAAAAAATGACATTTCAACAGAATCTTAAAAAGATAAACTTTTCTGCTTTCCTCTATTTTATATGGGACAAACCTTTTAGATGGCACATGAACTTGTAAGCTTACAAGTTACAACTTATTATATGAAAGGTGCCACTTTTTTAACAAGTTGATTGAGCTACTCATGAGCAACCCAGTTAGTTTAACAGCCCCACATAGGGTCAACATCTTGCTGAAATCTTTATTTGTGTCAATAATCAACTCAAGCTATAAAAGTGAGAAAGTATTTAGCAGCCCTCATCCTCACATAAAAAAATATTTTTACGCGCACATTGCAGATACATTATACATGCTCCATTTTGCCCCATAGTTATGCAATTTGGGACTGTAATCCCTTAGAAAGACATCAAATTCACCTTCAGCCTGTGTTTACTGTTTACTGTTTATTGTTCAGAAACTTTTATCTGTCCAGTAATAATAATATTTCATCAATCCCTTAAGCCGTATAAGTTTATAATTCTCGGAAATTACCACTCTTTATCTAGCAAATGTGTATATTACACGAAACCTGCTAACGTTAACAAACAAAAAATGGCAAAAAAGTTAAAAATCCAAAACATTTCAAATATATATATATATATATATTTCAATACATTTTTTTGCACATTTAGCATTTACCGTATTTCATATCCAAAAGATGAAGTTCAATAAACAAAATTGAGTCCACATGATTAGTAGAGAGAGAGGCATAATGCTATTGCTATTAATGCAGCGAGATATCGCCAAGCAAGGACAGAGAGTTAAAATGTTCGAACTTGCCGTCAAAGGAAAGTTGAGTTTTGAGACCAGCGATGCAAGATCGGGTCTGTGGATATATCAACAAATGAAGTAAAGAATCACTTCGAATTGGAGAAAACAACGACAACTAAAACAAAATTGAGAAGAAGAAGAACGAACCATTCCTCTTTAAGTTGGCGGAGTCGACGACTTCTTGAAGGATCAGAAGAAGCAATAGCATCGTCATCATCATCGTCGTCTTCATCTTCAATACCTCTCCATCGGTCCAGGAGCTCTCTCCGCGTTGCTCCCTTCTTCGACATCTTCTTCTTTCCTTCACCTTCCCCCGCCATACATTAGGGTTTTAAGAAAGAAAGAAAGAAAGAAAAAAGCGCGCGATGAGAATATAGAGGGTTTTCAGACAGTGATGAAAAGCGTCCTGAAAGATATCAAACGGCGCGCAACTAGTCGAAGGATATGGAGTGGGCTGGCAATTGAAATTTGAAGGGTAAATTACACATTAACCCGAATCTCCGAATTCAAAAAATAACGTCGTTTTTAAATTATTATTTTTTTTTTTTTAGAAGAAGAAGAAAATGAGAAGAAAAAAGAAGAAGAAAAATGAGGAGGAGGAGGGAAGAAGAAGGACAGGAGAGGGCTAAAAAAATTGGGCTGGAGGCGGAAGCGAGGCCGGGGCCGGGGCCGGGGGTGGAGGCAGAGGCAGGGAGCGCTGCGAGGCAGAGGTGGAGGCGACGGCGGGGTTGCGACGAGCTGCGACGAGGCGACGGTGGGCGATGATCGGGCGAAGGCGAGGCGACGACAGGCGGAGCTCCTCCCCTTCTCCTCTCTTCTCTCTCTCTCTCTCTTAAATTTCGAGCTATTCGAGGGAAAAATTTCGGGAAAAAAAACATTTCTGATTACAAATATAGCTTTTAAAATACGAATTATTATTATTATTAGGTTTTTTTTGTGGTTTAGAAAATTATAAAAATCTCTTTATTAGAATTTTTTATTTAACATAATTAATTTAAAAAATAAAATTTTTAATGGTTCACCTATATAATAATAAAATTATCTGAATTATTGATTGAAATAAAATTTTAACATTATTAGAAACTGTTAATTAACTTAATGATTTATTAATAAAATGAATTATTTGTTATAAAATTAAAAATTTTAGGGGGTGATGATACAGTTTGTTCCAGTGAATGGATCGGACAGGTCCAAGCTCCTCAAGCCCACGTCCAAATGATCAAGCCCATCGGATAACCTGCAAGCAAGTCCCCCAGTGAACCCTCCGACGAGCAAGTTAGAAGGAGAAGTAGGGTGTAGAGAGAGATTAGAGATAGAAAGCTTAACCTTCTTCTTGTCTTCAACGTTTGCTTATATCCTTTGGTAATCATTTTGCTGTCCCTTCCGACCTACCCTCCTCGCCGAAAGTCTATGCTGTACCTTACCTTGTTCAGGGTAAGGAGGTCCTGTTCCAACGGAGAGGTGTTGTCGTAATAAATGCTGTAATGGGCTGCATTAATGGTGATGTGCAGTGGCAATAACTTTGCAGATCTTTGTCTGCTGATGTGGCTCATCCTTCACCTGCCATGTGTCTGAATGTCATTGGCTCTTTATGCCATGTTGGATTCCAGCTATTTTGGACCTCACTAGCTGGGTTATATATTGGGCTTAAAGTGATGAGCTTGGGTTGTTCATAGTGATACATGGCCTTTATGGGCTTATACACGTCAGTAGTCCCCCATTCTCGAGTACAGCTTTAATCCAACGAAGGGAATACTAATAAAGAAGATGAGGGTGTTAGGGATTGGTAAGATGGAGGTCGACCGGCAGGGGGGACCGAGAGGGTGAACCGACCGGGAGGTGGTCCGACCGTGCAGGGTGACCAAGTGGAAGGGCCGACCACGAGGAGGGCCGACCGCGAAGGTTGGCCGAGTGGGAGGGTCGGCCACGAGGAGGGCCGATCGCAAAGGGTGACCGAGTGGGAGGGCCGACCACGAGGCGGGTCGACCGCGAAGGGTAAGGTGGAGGGGCGTGGGGCTCGAGAGGCGGCGTGTCACGTGGTGATTTGAAATGGAAAAGACAGGGTAAGGGGAGAAGACAGTGGATCGTGGTCGTACGTGTGGCAACATCCCGCGGGGGGGGAAGATTAGGCGTTGGATCAGAAATGAAACGATAGGTCATTATGAGTGTTGAAAATACAGTTTTGGCGGATGTTTTGAAAAGTTTTCAAACTGGCGAAAATTAATTGTGACCCTTGGAATACGGGTAAGCCTTGGGCTTTTGGGATTATTCGATTCACCTATTTGTTTGCAAAAAATCAAAACATCCCAAGTGTTTAACTCCTTTGTTGCTCGCGATACACCTCTGCAACACTTTTTCGATTTCCTTGTACCCGCATCTGAAGCAATTCGCAGACATACCATAGAAATGGCCCAAGAAGAAGCTGCGAATGCCAGGGTGGATCCGCTTGGTGATGACGATGCAGTGGAGTTAGCGGAGCAATATAGGACGGAGAGGCAAACGGAGAGGGTGGGTGAACCGGTGGTACGATCTCATGTCTCCACCGTAATGGCAGCTCCGAAGCCAATCAGCCAGGTGGAACCAGATCACTGGCACACGAAAGCTGACAAATCAACGGTTACTGCAGTGGATTTGCAGGCTATTCGCGAAAAACACTAGGTGCCTGCTGAAATAGAGTTATTGTTGTCGATGTCGACGGAGAGGCAATCCAATGCCAGGCCAGGGGAGTTTGCCCTTTTATGAGGAAGCATTGAAGGAAGGACTGAGGCTGTCCCTGCCGCAAGTAGTGGTAGATGTCCTGAATCGTTTGGAGGTAGCGCCTGGCCAACTAATGCCCAATGCGTGGAAGATCGTACTGGCCTGTGCAAGTGCGTGGCCGAAGGCGAACGAAGAGGCGGCCATGACAATAGACGAATTGTTTGCATGTTACAAGGCCTCAGGGCAGCAAGAGACTTGGGTCACTCTGCAGGCAGCAGCAGGGAAAGGGCTGGTGGCGGGGCTACCGTCGTCGATCAAGGGGTGGAGACCACGGTAGTTCATGTGTCCGCCAGTGGAGGGGTTGGAGTGCGCACCATTTGGAAAGTGCCCACCAAGTCTGTGGAGCCAAAACTGGGAGCAGCAGCAGAGGAAAGAATAAAGAGGGCGAAGGTGTGGCGGGAGAAGGAGGGAGTCAGGTGGGACGAACTCGTTCAACCCTCTGCCTTGTTTGCAGCGGGGTTGGGTCCTCAGCCGAGCAGAGGAAATGTGGGGCGAGCTGAACTGGAGGCAAGGAGGAAAGTGCAGGAGGCTGAGGATAGGGCCATGCTGGCCAAGGCCACAAAATTTAAGGAGGCGCAGAAAGACCGACTACCTAAGTCGATCGCGCGGGAGAGGAGCCAACCGCGCCCCAAGCCGAGGGAAGGACTTAGGCAGTTTTGTGCCACGATCGGCCCTAGTGGATCCTGTGAAGGAGCAGACGAACAAGGAAGGGGAGGCTCTGAAGAAGAAAAAGATGAGTGCCCCTGAGGGGGTTGCAGATGTGCCTGGGTCGAACAAGGCGAAGGTTGGGGGGGAAGACACCCCTATAGTCAAGGAGGCAGAGAATGGGGCAGTGGAGGAGACCCCAGGAAGCGTGGCTGCCCAAGAAGTGGTGGAGGTCACCCCAGTATTGGAGGTTATGGAGGTCGCCCCAGCGATGGTGGAGATCGCCTCAAGGGTCGCGAAGGTCGCCCCCGAAGTGCAAGTAGAAGGTGGGGCAACAGGCCCTGAGCCAAGGGGAAGAGGACAGTCCCAAGGCGGTCTTGCACTCCAAGGAGGGGGGGTCAGTCTGACGACTGTGATCTACCACGCTCGCGCAGTGGCTGGGCAGCTGGAGGGAGAAGAGGGCCCAGCCAGGGCAGGAGCAGATCGCCTTGTGGAGATTGTAGAAAAGGCAGCCTTGCGCTCAGCAGCCAGATTCAATGAGGCTGAGCTGCTGAGGGGGTTATGCTCCGCTCAAATGGAGATAACCACCTTAGCAAGGGCTCTGCTGAGAAAGGCGGGGGCTGCAAAACTCAAGGCAGATGAGGCCAAGGCTTAACTTGCAAGGTTGAAGAAGGAGAGTGTAAACTGGAAGAGTGCCTATGCTGAGCTGCGAGAGATCAAGTTGGAGCTGGAGAACGAACGCCGCCAGGTTGTGTCGCTCGAGTTCCAGTTGGCTGACGAGCAGAGGAAGCTGGAGGAGGCCCAAAAAGCCTGCGCGGTCGCGCTCGAATGGCATGAAGAGGCGATGACCAGTAATGAAGAACTGGTTAAACAGAAAGATAAGGCAGACGTGAAGATTGACAGTCTACAAAGGGAGCTGGAGGCCGAGCGCGCAAAGGCAATGGAGGAGAGGGACGGCTTGCAAAAGGAGTTGGAGGAGGAGAGGGCCAAGGCATCTTCTGAGAGGGCGAGCGTGCAGAGGGAGTTGGCTGAAGAGAGGGCCAAGGCAGCCTCTGAAAGGGCGACCTTGCAGAAGAAGTGGGAGGAAGAGAGGGCTAAGGAGGCCTCTGAAAGGGCGACCCTGCAGAAGGATCTGGACGAAGAGAGAGCCAAGGCAGCCTCTGAAAGAGTGGCATACCCCGATCTGTGCGTTGCAGCAGTGGATCAGTTCAAGGGGTCTACTGAATTTCAGATGGCAGTTGATGCCGCGGTCGCCAGCAGCTTGGCGAGAGAGGAGTCTGGGGGGGCGGGCCCATCGAGGACGACCGCTGGAGGCAGGACTGAGTCGGAAGTGATTGAGAGCTTCCAGCGGTCAGACTTTTATAAACACGAATTGGCTGAGTTTTGGGACAGTGGTTGGAAGATGTTCAAGCGTAAAACTGAGGAGCTGTTCCCAGATTTGGACCTGAGTAGTATGAAAATCGACGACGACGATGTGACCCAGACCCCCCTAAATGAGGGTATTGAAGAAGAAGACCTTGTGTCCAGCGAAGAGGAGTAATTGAAGAAGAAGAAGAAGACCTTGCACAAGCATTGTGTGGTTGTTTTTGTTTTGTTTTGTTTGTTTGTTTGTTTGTTTGTTTTTTTGAATTACTGTAATGCACTTATGTACAAAGTTGTGAATAAATAAAATTTCAGTTGTGTTTTACATTTGATTGTTTTTGCTTGTGCATCTGAAATGGATGAGAATGGTGGCTTGTGTGTGGAGCTTGTGTATGAATCATTATGAAGTGCAAAATAGGGTTAAACTTGTAATAAAAACTGAATTTAGGAATTCCTCAAGACAGAGTGGGATTGAAGTTGTAATAAAAACTCAATGCAGAGTAAAGTTAGGAACTCCTCAATGTAGAGTGAAATTGAACTTGTAATAAAGACTCAGTGTAGAGTAAAGTTAGGAACTTCTCAATGCGGAGTGAAATTGAACTTGTAATAAAAACTCGGTGCAGAGTAAAGTTAGGAACTCCTCAATGTATAGTGAAATTTAAAATGTAATAAAATTATAAGTTTGTGTTTGCC